GTTAACAAGGAGAGGCATATAAGAACTTAGTTGGCAACTTTGTAAAGACAAAATAAAGGCTTTTTATTTAAAGCAGCAGTTATGTTATTTATGCTGTAAACAGCTTACAGCAAATGCCATTTGTGAGTTCCTGTTTTTTTCCTCCTGTAAAATCCAACCTAGACTATTTCCTGAAAGTCTGTCACTGTGACGGATGGAAGCATGCAGGGAAGCAAAGACACATTTCAAGAAGCGTTTGGCAGAGCAACAGTTATTAACGCAACTTAATACATCATTTAACAAAAGTAGCCAGAATAAATTTTTGATGTGTGGCAAGCATTTCAAACAGTCTGACTTTTTCATGAAGGTCACAGAGTCTTTCAAAGTACGTTCATATGCACAAGCTACTGCACAGTAATTTAAGACTATGTACTTGCAGGGTGTCACAGAGCCAATCACCTATGGGCGTGCTCTTACCCTGCTGTAAACGTCAGGTATGTTGAAACAGCTTTCTCCTCAGTGCAAGATAAGTTGGCTAATTTGTTCTTACTTTGGGCTGCCAAAGGGTGAGACCTTAACCTCAGCTACTACAAGGCAGCTGCTCTACCATAAATTTACTTAGCGTAGTAAACTTTATCACTGGTCCACACTTGCACTGCACAGCATCTACAAGATACTGTAAAGTGGATCCAAAAGAGCAAAAAACAGGCACTGTGGCATTTTGCAATTGCCATTAATTCAGTTTTCATACACACATGACACCTTACACTTCAGTTCAAGCCTTCTCAACTCAGTTAGGTTCAAAGACTGCTAAAGAACAACTCATTAAAGTTTCATATATTCTACACAAAGCTTGGAAGATTGTTAGTCTTAGTAGGTATTTCTTCAGGTATATGAGACTAAAGGAAGAACCTTGGCAGGAGACCTGTCTTTCATTAAGGACATCGATTAGGACAGAGACAACAGCATTTTTCTTCACTACTCAACAATTCTGACAGAAATTTAAATTATGAAATAAATTCTGCAGTGTCGTTCATTCTCCTGTAATCATCGATCTTTGTCTATTCTCAGTATATTTCTTGCATTCTGAATTTTGAGTTTCTTTCACAATTCCCTGCAATGTTGCCTGAGTTTTGCAATCGCTGTGCAAGGCTACCATCTAGGTTGACAGCCTTTATACACTGCTTTGATAACCTGCCATCTGTCTTTCTGTCCTCCAAGCAGAAGCATCATCAGGGGTCCAAACAGGACCTCACAAATGGAAACGAGGACCAGAGTCTGGCAGAAGCGTGTTGCACTGGCAGGCTGAGTTGCTACAAAGGCGACCAGGCAGTCCCAGCCCTGGCCCTGACAAACAGCCTCTTTCACAGCTCAGCTGAGATTTCTCCATGGATCTGAACAATACGGGATACTAATTTCCAAGATGTTGCCATATTTGCTGACAAAAGGCAAAATTGCATGAATGGTGAGCCAAGAATGCTCTTTATAAGCACTGATCCCAGTGTTCCTATGCAGGTCACATTTCCCTAGAGCTGGAGTGAGGAGAAACCAGAAACAGCAATATCGCCTTCCACTCCATTACAGTCTAGCAGTGAAGCTCTGCCAGCATGTTACAGAGTGAAGGTTTCCAAGGGCATAGCAACAACGTGCTTCCTCCTTGAAATTACTTGTATTACTGTTCTATTTTACCTTAATTTAACACGTAATTGATTTAAATGTAAAATGAGATTTTGTTTTTCCAGACAGTTATTGTAAAATTTGATTTACTAGAAAAATAGATTATTTCTAAATTATGGCAACCCCTTCTAAAGCCTTTTTAATTACATGGGTATTTGTGTTCCATTATTATCCTTCTGAGTTTGATGGCAGTATTATAAGTGTACCAAATTCTAAAGAGAATGATGTTTTCTTTCTCTTTTTCAGCGCACTATGTCCTGAAGCTGTCCTGCAGAAGTCCCTTAATGCATGCATGAAGCAGTAAAAACATATTCTCTGCGAGAACATTTCCAGCAAACTGTCCTCCACAACACTCTTATTGCTGTCTGGAGATGCAGATACAAACAGATGAGGCTGTTTACAACCACCTCATGCACACACACCATTGCCTTTATACTTCTAGAGAATCTGTCCTGTGTATGTGCCAGAGGCAAAATTAAGAGATTAAAAAAAATATCTAATCTCGTTTCAAAGACCATGCTGTCCCACTGTTGCCTAACTAAATCTCCTAGGTCATTTTACCTTTTTCCAGGCTAAGCTTATTTAAGTTCCAATTTAGGCACTGGATCTCGTTATACCTTTGTCTATAGAATGAAAAATCCTTTATTCCATTCTTATTCTTACTCTATAGATGCAAAATCCTACATATAAAATAATTAATCCACCCTCCAACATTTCTTCTATAAATTGCAGGTATTAAATATGCTAAGCACCACAATATAATGATGTTTTTGTAGATCTGTAATTATTTTGGTTGAGTCACCATCCCTGGAGGTATTTAAAAGATATGTAGATTTGGCACTTGGGGACATGGTTTCGTGGTGGACTTGGCAATGTTAGGTTAACAGTTGGACTCGGTGATCTTCAAGCTGTTTTCCAAACTAAATGATTCTATGATTTCAACAAATTTCTATGAACTCTCTCTAGAAGTTCCAGATCTTGCTTAAAGGCCTGACCAGGACATAGTATTTTATCAGAGGCTTAGCAAAGCTGTGTTGAGTGGAAAGATCATTTACTACTTAAAATGTGTATTTTGCATAACACTTGTTATGAGGTCAAAGCAGTTGTCTACAAAGAGCCCTGTATTTTCCTGAAACTGCTCCATACCATTTGTTTACAGTGTTTTCCATAGGAGTAATTTCTCTTAACTTTGTAAGCCTTAAACTTTGCTAATTCCTATACGCCTTCACTTACACGTGAGGAACAGGCACCTCCAAAAGAGTCTCCATGCCACTAAACTGAGATACCTGTCTGAGCCTTTGGTGCACGTACCACAGCATTTCAGTTCAAAAGAAACGTGTGGCTCTAAAACAAGTCTTCTCACCACTCTCACTTCCCACAGCAGAGAGGTTTCAGTGTATGCAGACTGGATTCCTTCCAGATGAAACGCATATGCTCCAGGCATGCACCACAAGCACTTCAACTGATAATGGAAATTCAGTTCACAGGACAGGACTACAGCCAGTCCAAAGTAAAACTCTCAAATCGGACATTGGATGCTCAGAACAAGCCATTTGCCTCCTGCGATTATTATGCCACACTGCTTGTCCCTGTAGAAGCAGCTTATGGCCTTGCAGGGACTGCCAAGGGAGCTCGGGGAGACCAGCTGACACAACCTACCTCACTCCAGATTCTGAAGTGGGATGAATGCCTCCCTGGTTCCCAGATTCCTACCCTCCTTTGGCTATACTGAAATGCAGATTGTCATAGTGGAACCATCTAACAAGCAGTTCATATCATCATAAATCAGTAATGTGTTGTCCTTCTTACTTTGTTACCTGCCAGTCTTTGTTGACTCCAAATACTGTTTATCAGCAAAGATTTTATTCTCTAGAATCCTAGGGAATTTACTGAAGAGCATTAGACCTTGCTAGGAAAGGCCTCACTCATTTCTCCCCATGCTCACGTCTCACAGAACCAAACTGCAGAACACCTATGTCTGTAATTTAACTCTACTTGTGCAAACTTTTAAATCCAGGGGTCTTTGTTCAAGGCAAAAAGCCTCTTGGGAAATCTGAGCTTTTGATGGCTTTCTAAACCATCCTTGCAATCTTGCCCTCCCAAGAGGCAGCACGTATAATTGACAAAACCTGTTTTTCATGAAACTATGCTACACAGACAAATATGTTTATCTTCTAAGGCTTTATTAATGGAGTCTCAATCAATCATTAGAGCCTTAGGAAACAGTTAAAACAGAGTATTAATGTAGGGCTAACCTACTACTTATTAAATACTGAAGCAATGTCCCATGGACCTGGACCCTATGGTACTAGGTAGTGTACAGACAGAATGGAAGGGTCCGTGTCCCAGATAGTGTAAACATATAATACTAAAAGCTGTTAGACCTGTACAATAATTGCTTCATAGGGTTTTACATTAGAAGTGTTACTTACATATATGTATGAATGTATTTTAAATTGGTTTTATCTTTTGCTTCTGTGCTAGTTGTTCCAGCACTGCAAGTAAAGGGTCTAATCCTGCTCTCACGGAAGTCAAAGGGAGGTGCTCCAAGTGTAACAGCACTGACGCATTAGTGAACACAATATATTACGGCACTTCTTGGAAAGGTGGACAGAATGGGAAATTCCTATACAGCATGAACAGACAAGATTTTTCAGCTTACACCGCTAGATATTTTCCTGCTTTCCTTCCAAATATTCATGGTTAAGACTTTTCCTAGTTCTATGGCAAATTTCGTATTTGATGCCAGCTACAAATGAACCAATTCATTTCCTTCTTTCCTCCCAACTTCTTCCTGAGGTCTTAACAGAGATCCACAGAATGAACTTGTGGCAAAAATCATCACTATTTTTGTACAAGAGTGGTAGAGGCAGAACTGTTTCATCTATTGTTGTCACTTCCCACGGTGAGCCCTGGAATACCGAGGAAGTCCTGGGAAGAAGACTGGCTGTTCCAAGTTTCCTCTATCTTTCCACTGCCTCTTAAGCCTTGCCCTATCACACACTTGCCTTGTGGAGCCATGCCAAGTTGCCCTGGTGGAAGAAACACATAAACATGGAAAAGCAGCAGCTTGATGTTAAAAGAAATATCAAAGACTACCATTACATGGGAAAAAATTACAGAACATATTGCCTCATAACCTAAGATGATGGGCAATTAAGCCTACTTCATTATTTGCAGTGGTATCTTCCAACCTCTCTAACAAGACTTGGTGGAACTCCTTCAGAGCACACAGACCTGCAATTCAGGAGCTAATCAAAGCACTCTCACCCTTAGCCAAGTGCAATTTTGTTAAACTGTTATGTAAGTGATTAAAGCAAGACAGTAAGATTCATGTTTATTACCTGAATTGTCTGGTAAACTGAAGGATCAAATCCTTTCACAGTCACCTCCCGGAAAACTCTTGGCTCCAGTTCCTCTTTGGTCAGATCACAGTGATATATAATACCTGCAACAGAGTGCAAGTTTGGCAGCTTAGTCTATTATGTATCATTAAAATGATGCTGGTTTAGGCACAGTGAGGGAGTAATGAATGGCAAAGGTAACTCAGCAGGGTGAAAAACAGTAGCTCCAGACAAACTGTGAATTAACTGAAAGAATGTAACATATACATATATGCACTGGAGAGGTGCAGAGCCTTTCTGTACAGAAAGAATAATTCTCACCACCCATACAAAGTCAGGTATCCAAAGCGGGTTAAGCAAAATGGAAAAGATTTGTTTTCATAGTTACATAGTATTCATTGAGAATGATAATGTTGGAAGTATAAAGTCCATTTTAAAATATCTTCTCCAGAGCCACCAGACTGAGAATAAACATAGCAAAAATTCTACTCAGCTCAATATTCTTCTCTTTATGATAAAATATTTTGAAATTACAATTTAAATGGAACTCCATATAGTGGAAAGAGCTGAACATCCACTTGAAATTGTGGCAGATTAGAACAGGTTACCTACGTGACTGAACAGAATTTGGTCTTGTATAATTTATTTTACTCCGTGATCCTGCAGGTTTGAAGGCAACTTCACTTGCTTGAGTTGCACCTATGATTTCCAAAGGATTGTGCGCATTTTTAGGCTGCAGCAGAGGCAGAATCATAGACTGTAGCAATCTAGACACTCCGCCAAGAAGAAAATCGCGTCTAGACTATAAATCACATTTCCTCTCATTCAATCGCAATAACATTTGCACATGTGCCATACAGCGTGACTACCGTTGTGTTTGCACACTGATTAGCACACTACAAAATTCTAATATTCATGGATATACTATAGATACATATGATATATAAAACTAACCTCATTGTTAATTATTCTTTGTTCTTCTGCTTGACAACAAGCTGGTCTCTGTGGAGTTTTAAACGTATATTAGGGCACTAAAAGTTGCGGCAACAAGCCCTCTACAGGCATCCTCAGTGTAATAAAATTAACCAAGGTATACAGGACTTGACTGAAAGACTGCTGTATTGTGTATATTTTAGATACTTTCAGGAAACTATAAGCAATTATTACAGAGGTTATAGCTATAAAAAATTATATTGAAACATGAAATAATGAGGAGACATACGCTACAAGAGAATTGTCTCATTAAATCACTTTTATAGACTGTGGAAAATCAAAGATACAGCTTGGCAAAGGAACACAGATGAAAACCAACATTTCTAATAACTGATAAAGCCTCTTTCTGAAATAGTGAATTACTAAATAACTAAAAGTAGGACTACTGTAATCTGCTGGGAATTTTTTTCCTTCATTTGTCACAAAGTGACTAGCAAGCCTAATATAGGGTGACAGGTACAAACAAGCATTAAAGCAGCATTTCCCTTAAAGATTAGGATCCACAAAGTGATGCGAAAGCACAAAGGAAAGCACACCAGGTGGTCACAGGCAGAGAGGTCATCTGACATATATACAGCTGCCCAAGCTGGATAATGCATTGGCAAACATTACATGCGGAGCAGGCAGAATAGCTGCATACTAGGAAACCGCATGATGAAGCATAAGCACAGTCACAGACTGCATTTCAGGAGTCAATCAACATAATATTATGGTAACATGCAACGGAACTCCTGGTACTGCATCTCTTTATTTTATTTTTAGTGACACTGGAGCTGACATCCAAAAACAGTAATGTTGGGGCCTGCACACTTCTGTTGTGTGTAAATAAATGCAAAACATGAGTGCTCACCTAAGTGTCTCATTGGAGTGAAAAGCAGGGATAACCATGTTTTTCAGTGAATAGCAATAATGATTTTTACGGTGTCAACATCAATGGTTTTAGAAGTGCTTTATTCATTATTTCATATGTATGTTTACCATCAGTTTTGTTGTAGGTATTACATACCAGTATGTTAATTTGTTTCTCATTGGAAAAAAAAATCATAATGTAACTTAATACAAGTGCAAATTATATTGATTTCTAACAGTAAAGTAAGAAGCTCTAGGTTAACCAAGGATCAGCCCCATATCTTTTGTCTGGTTATTGTACTGGTAGGGTGCAAATGGAGATTGTATGCAACTTAAAAAACATCCACACACCTACCTAAAAATTACCTCTGGTCTGCCTTCCTCATCATTTCCTTATTCCCATACATTCTACTTCCATTTCTTTCCTTCCTCTTTCTTCTAGATTCCAGGTCACTCTGCACCAGTTAACAGAGCTACGCCATGGTGAATTCTCTGTAGATGCTAAGCACACGGATGAAAAGGAGAAAAAAAATCTGCCTGCCTAAGCAACCAGCAGGCAGTAAGAGCAGTCATTGCTGGTTGGCTGGCAAGCCAGGGGCTAACACAGATCCCCGGGCTCTTCCCCTCCACATGTTTAGCAGCTGCAGAGGCTCTACTGGCTCAGCTAAGATGAACGATGGAGGCTTGTAAGACTGGTAACTTCTGGCCCATGACATAGGATGTGAGCAAGTGAACTATCTGAACCATCAAGTCGGGATGAAGGTTAGAGGCAAAAACAAGAGTGTCCTCAAGGTCCTCCCTAGACTCAATGGCTGCAACATTCTGAATGTTGTTTAAAAGTTTGTTTAAAAACAGGAACTGGAAACATAATATATCTTATTTCTGGTTGTGTAAACAGTAAGATAATAATAGGAAATTCATCACACTTCTTATCTGCTAAGTTTGAAACATAATTTTGATAATTTGACATCTCCCCTCTCCATATTTGAATCCTGTCCTGTATTAGCTATAGATTATTTGGGCCATAAAGAAAGAAAGAAAGAGAGAACAGCAAATACGTTTTCTTGTTATATACCAGCTTCACAATTGCATAGAAACTCCCTTCCTATTCAAAATCCTGGAATACTTCTTGGTGTGCCACACACATATTACAGGACGCTTTGGACAGTTCTGGCTTTGCACGGTTGTACAAAGAGGATTCCCACAGCAATCCAACACCACCAAGTGTTGTAAGGACAGATAGTAAGGATCCTCTAATGAGGCTATGCATAAATGAATCAAAAAGCTGACAGAGAAGGAATTTTTGTGGCTTTTATTAATGTCCTCCAAAATTGTGATGAAAATCACATTAAATACATTAACAATTATCTTCAACAGAATTTGTAAACTTCTATCTTGCTACATGAAGCAAGAGCTGTGAGAATGCTACAATCTGATCTCTAGTACAAGCCAGTGTTGAGTAATTTCTCTATAATTTCTCAATGCAGGTCTCTCAAGTATTAGTAAGCATATCATTTAGGCTTCATGGATCAAGGACTGGTACATTTTGAAGTGCACAACCAGAACTTCCTATATGGAGAGAAGAAGTTTTATCTGCATCTTAGACATACCCAATAACTACCAAACAACAGAAAACGAGAAAGATATGGTTCCCAGGAAAAGGAACAATAACTAAGGGAAAAAAACAATATTACCTGGAGATAAAAAGGAAGTAAACTGATAGAATATTTCGGTGTCCTTCTTTTGGCCACTATATCCCACAATACTGCCAACCTCTAGAGGGAAAGTCTTGAGATGTGTGCCAGTCGCTAGGTCATGAAGCTGCAGGATGTTCTTCACGTCGTGCAGATAGCACAAAACCAGGAAGTTGGACCTCACACAAGCAACCCATTCTGCACAGTGGGGGAAAGAAAAACAAAGCCACAGAACGTACAGTAAAAAAAAGTGGAAGAAAGAAAACAATCAGACGTAATCTGATTCTAAAATTCTTTCATATACGTAAATACAAGCCCCAAAATTTCTGACATGCACTGATTTTCACTCTTAAATCCTTAGAAGTCACCTGCCTTCTGAAACAAAAAAAGTGAACCCAAAAGGAAAGACTGACATTCTTTGGAAGCACACTAACCATGCCACCTGAAGCTGATTTATGCAGACACAGGAATACAGAACTGCTTAACCAAGATGCTTATGCACCTGGGGTGCTTATAGATCAATACTGCTCCTAAGTATCACATATTTCAATGCAAAAGCCAAACAAAACATTGATCTTTGCCAGCAATACTTCTGGAAATGCATGAAAATCAAAATAAGCATTATGGTTTAGACTCCAGCTAAACTAGTAAGAACGAAAAGATACGCGATCCTGTATTGCACATTAAAGTATAGCACCCAGAGGTTACTATTCATCTTGGGTTTACTGCCTAAGTATTCAGCAGGCTACTCTCGTAAGCAAGCTCTACCGGGTGTAAGAAAAGGGCTATTCTGAGGTGATATCCTCAACATGCCATTTTCAAGAAACGTTCCAAAAAATGTTTATTCAAGATGCGAATATTGTTAAACAGCATTCTTGAGACTGTAAGGTAGTAGGAACAGGATGCAGCACAGTGAACTCCATCTGGCAGCAGGACCCTGGAACACAGCACTCGGCAGAGGTTCATCTCCTTCGTGCCTCTCCTGGCAGCCCCCAGCCCCTGCAGAGCCGCCCACCTCGGCCGTGCAGCTGCGCAGGAATGAGGGCTTCTGCTTCACACAACCCTTCACATTCTGAGTTTCTTCCTCAGAAGCATTACCAGAGATATGTGAACTTTTTAATGGAACGCTGATTTTTTTCAATTGGATTTTGGAAAATCTAAGCTGATTAAAAAAGGTCTAGGCTGGCCATTTCTACAAAAATCCCTGCAGTTCTACTGAGCATCTCACTTCAATCCCCATCTTTAGATCCTGTGAAGCGTAGAAACTCTTCAGGGCTCCGGTTCACCCAGAATATATCACTTCACACATTTTCTCCTGTCTCCCATTGGCTTTAGAACTTTTGTGACAAATCTATTTATTTACTCATGCAGACAGGAGAAAGACTGAAACCTCTTCATCTCAGTATTTCTGTCATTTAAGAAACTCGTAACCCTACTTCACAACAAAAGTATTTCAACTTCTCATCAATTCACAAATTAAATACAAACAAGACAAAATACAAACAAGGTTAAAAGTCAAGAAAAAATATCTGGAAGGAGAGAATGAAGAACTTTCTTTGTTCATAGGTCTAGGTGAGGTGGTGATTCTTGTCCTCCTCCAACTATGTATGTGCAACTTCTCCCCTGACAAGTCAGACTGGAAACCTAAACCACGGTACCAGCAAGGTACCAGCACTGAACAATGCTTTCTCTTATGTGCTGGAAGCAAAAACCAAAAAGATGAAAGCAAATGAGCAAGAAAAATCAGGTTGGACTGACTCAGGCACACTGTAATGTCAAAGTAGGACTGTGAGACGGGGAGTTTACAATACCAACACTGGAGGAAAAACCATCTAAAACAAAACAGCAGCAAGACAAAATTGACTGAATTTCAGTTTTACACTATTTTACATTATTCACATTTTAACAGTTTCTTCCAGTTTCCCCAAAGCCCTATAAAACCAAATAATTTGAATTTACAGAGTTGTACTCAAGACAGTCTTATAAATGCATCTTTGCACATTCAGGTTCCAGAACAAAAGTTCAAAGCTGTGTCATGTGCCCCTTCCCTTAAGGGTAACAAGCTCTTTCTGAATTGAAGGTCAAAACTCACTATTCTGTAACAGTTAGCTTCTTTAACAGTCCCTGCTTTCATACACAGTTCAGGTCTGTCATGACCCCCTAGAGCTCGAAGACCTTCAAATCCCAAGAGCTTGATAGACTCTACTTTCCTTTTAGCTTCTTCTTGAAGGACCAGTGAAATTTAACATTAGTCTGACTTTCTAGCAGTATGAATTTATGTTACATCAACACCAAAATAAAGCTTTACTACTCCCCTCTTCCTGAAGACCACCACTGATATTTTTTTACCCCAAGACTTTCTAACTCCCTCATGAGCTGCTAGCCTAAATCTGGGGAATTGTCTAACCAAATCCCCAGAGTAAAACACTACTTGAAATTTCAACTGTGAAGCCACAACCTTAAATAATAAGACACAGCACAACATAACACTGTTTATAAATTAGTAATTGATGTGTAATTTTAGCTCTGGAGTGACTTAGATTTCTTAAGCAAGGCTGGAGAACAGAATAAACTTTTAAAGTTTAATTGTTATATTCAGTTACATATTTTGAAATATAGAATCATTCTTGGCTGTATGAACACGCAGAATATGCAGTAATTTAAAATATTTATTACATTGGCATTGCACAAATCTGCCAAAATTCACGTGTACAATTCTTTTATTAACACAAAATATGAATTAAAAAAATAGCATCCCTACAGTAACACACCATTTTTGCCTGCAGAATTAACTGCTCTGCAAGAAGTATGAAATTCCACGAATTCCACTGATATTCTCAGTAACATCTGTAATGAAAATTTTGTTTTAGTCTTGAAATTTCCTGATAAAGTTACACAAAATGGATTATAGGCACTCTCAGATTAACTTCAAACGTATGTAACGTAGTTTTGCTTCAACAAAATACTACTTAAGTAATCTGTGTTTTAAAATTAAATTGTGATGATGCTTAATTCCTCACTAATCATTTGATGAAGCATTGCAGTTTAATGGATTATTTCATTAAAAGTCACAGTTCATTATTACTTCAACTTACATATTAGGAAGAGATATTATTTTTATTAAAAAAATTCAGTTGCCCAGGGGTAAGGCTGCTGGCTTACGTGAGGATTCCTGCTATTGAAGAACTTGCCTTGGAAGCAGCAATCTTAACTCTCCATGACCTCTTTGGTTTACAAATTAGATGCTGTCAGCAAGGTGAAGATAACAGATGCGAAGGCAAGGCAAAATGTTTTTAAAACATTCAATGAGATTTAGGTATGCAGCTTCTGTGTATACCACCTGTATTATAACTGGTTTTGGTGCATTGCTAACTGCCTCCAAAACTTATAGTAATGGAAGCTACAAAGAAATGTAAAACATAAAAACATAGCAAAACACTGAAGCAGACTTGAAAGAGCAGCAGAAAAAAAAAAGACACTAAGAACCAACACTTATACACATATCAAGTTAAAACAATGCTGAATTATTAACAAGAGCTGTTTTTTGACTGCAAGCTACAAGCCGAGCCTCTGTTACTCCCATGCTCTGCACTGAGAACTGCAGATACTGTCGAGTTTGCTGCCTTAGCAGTCAGTCTCCTTGGTTTTGTTTATGCATTGCAGAATGCATCCTGCATGCCTCTGTAGTGCCTGGCAGCTTCTAAGACTGTGTGCTTGCAGACTTCACATGCCTAAAGGCTAAGCCTGACACCACTGCTGCAGACTCCCCTTGCAGGCAATGGGCAGAAACAAGCACCTTCAGAATGCAGTACACCCAACTATTTCGGATACCCTGTTCTGGGATACCGTGAATTGCTTGTTGAGCAGTTTCACTCACACAAGTGGTTTTTTTTTAAATCTAACCATCCAAGACCTCTCCAGTGTACAGGGCCAGTTTATTTTCAGTTAATATCAATGAACAGAGCAGTTACTCTCACAGCTGAATTTATCATTTGTTCTCCAGCACACTTACAATTCATCTACTTACAACAGCCATCAGGCAAAGGATTTCTTTTATCAAAGAATAAACACATAGAGGTTGCCTTTTCCTACCTGAGCTTCTTGGCTCAGGCATCAGAGAGAGACGGATACACTTGGGGACACTCTTAGGTACTGAAAGTACACGTGAAGAATTATGCTTGGTACATTCCCCTCTGAAGATGACAGTGACCGCCTTGGTGATTACAATACATTACACACAATTCTCCAATAGCTAAATCTGGGCTAGAGGAATTGTACTGCTTAACAAGGCCTAGAAAACTGAGGTCAACCATCTGTAGAAGTTCTAGTTCAACATTTTAGAAATTCATATGCTGCCACCTTCCAAAAGCTCTTTTATTTTGATAGTTTTCAATAGCAGCAAAGTCATGCCACTAACCCTGCACCTGCTCCATTGCTACGAACAACTTTTGAAATAGTTTCAGGAAAAAAACGGTTGAATCCTCACACCAAACATCTGTGCCACTAACCTTAATTACTTATGACAGTTCTGTCCTTTTATTTCTGCAGCAGTAGCTACAGCATGTTAAGTGTTCAACTGTACAAGCATGGTTTGACAGATACAGGCTGAAATGTTGACGGACAAGAACGTGACAAGCTAGAAGAGCTAGGCAGTCATAAGCTTCAGCAGAAACTGCTGAGTTACTTGCTGTACAATGTGCTTGTGCATCCACTCTACAAATGCTGAATATATTTTAATGGACGCCTGCCAAAGCTTCAGCTGGAAAATAGACCTGGAAGGTCATTTTGGTTTCTTTGGTGAACACAGACAATGCCCATAAACTTCAGTGTCTGCAGATTAACCCGTATCGATGTTGATCTCAATTAAACTGACCCATAACCACCACTGAAGGCTACTTACGGGTAGACTTGCAACCAAAGCATGAGCAATATACAGAATAAGACATGAATCATTCTGAAACATGTGAGTAAATGTTGATGAGCCCTCACAACACATGAAAAGGCATACGCCTTCTCTCTGAGATACCATCCTCAGTGACAGCCTGCCATGTTTAAGTTAATGCAAAAGCTCCAACCAATTTCAGCAAGGATTTTATATCCCACATCCTCTCAGTATGAGACACAGACGAGAGACAGAGTAGGGGGGGGGCAAAGCTCTTCTGAAGCTGCAAACATCAGGAGTAACACTTTCCTTAAGTAACCTACAGGCTTTAGTCATCTGTGACTGGTGCAGGTTTTCCATGGTAAACAGAGTTAAACAGAGACACAAAAGCCCTACCAGGGGAGCAGAATAAAACTTTCAGTCAGGGACATGCATCTGGACCTCATCCTGTCCCCAGGTGCCCAGTGACTGAGGAACTGTATCTGGCTTGGCCAGATCTTAGGGGGTGTTTTTTGTTGCTGGGAAACACTGGAGAAAAGCCAGTTTCACATTAGAAGCTTATCAATCTGGTCGTTTGCATTGCAGCCAATTTTGTCCTCTCTGCCAGACTTCTGCACTAGCTGTCTCTGCAGGGTGCTTCCTCTGGGACACACAGAAGGTCACACGACTGCTCCTCAGAATGGTCACACAATTCTTCATGCACCCGCTTCGCAAGCAAAACTCCCAAGCGTGTAAAGCTCTGGGTACTCTGAAAAACACCACAGAGTAATGGAGTGCACAAGCTTCCTGGTGCTTAAGATGAACATGAGGGACTACTCACAGCCATGTACATCCTTGTCATTCAGGATCAACAATTTCATGGTACTCATTCCAGACTTTCCCTCCTCGTTTCACTACAGTGCCAAAAGATACATTTCAGCTGCAGTAATTCCCCTCCCCAAACTCTTCAGCACTTATGAATTAGCTAGCAGGTTAAAGGCATGAAGAAGAATACTATTTTTTACTTGGAGCACACACTCTAGCTGAGGGGAGGGAAGCATTTTACATGCGCTGATTTTGGGTGTGCAGATGTGTACAAGGTGCAGGAGTATTGCTAGCTTTGCCCCTGCTTGTTAAATGGCCAACTGAGATTGAAGGAACTGTTCAAGATCACTCACCTCATCTAGGACACACTCAGGAATATGTCTTATTTCTCAGCCCTCCTTACTCAGGAGATCTATTCTGATTTTCTTTTCACTGTCACAAGTACAGGGCTGGATATAACTGCTACTCTCATGTTTCCTGCTTTACCAGTATTGGGCACTTTCGGTGGGCTTACAGTTCTCAGAATTAATCATTTAACCTTCTAAAGACAGCAGGTTTATCCTATGCCTTAGAACTAGTGTCGCAGTGTCTGTCATGATCAGTCTGCATTTACGGTTTCATAGCCGTCTTACCTAATTCAGCACACCCACTTTTGGCTATGTGGTCATTTAAACCACTTGTTCAACATTAGACGTGAATCTCTTCTATGGTTCTGTTTTAGACCCCCTGAAAATTAAAAGTAACACTTTAAAAACGAACTTCAAAGGGGGGGAAATGAGTCTCATCACACCCCAATACGTTCTGAGCTCCCCCCTCAAATACCATTTTAAAATAGCTGTCATTTATTTCTTCCCCTCAGTTCACAGAGCAGAGATCTAAATTTACCTCAACTCTGTGTGAAATCCCTGCTGAGAGTTGTGAAATGAGGTGTGCATACAACCTCACTGCAGGCATACGTTTATTTTTTTCCCTGTATTTCCCAAATTAATTCATTTATAAACAGTTCTGAAGACAAAAAGGTCAAAGCCAATATAGAAGTCTACTTTGAAGAATATGTTGGAGAAACCACATGACATTCACACTGCCTTGTAGGCATGTGTGTTTATTTCTCAGCTAGATTATATTAACTACAGCATCTTCCCTAAAAATGCATTATGACACTTTGTGAAATTTCTTGCCATTGATGGACAATGACAGAGCTTCATAATGTTTAATCCTGAACTTATTATTCATAAATAAATCTATTTCTGCATGTGCATGGTGCAGTTTTTATGAAACAATTTAAGTTAACATATAGAAATGAAGGCAGCTGCAGCTACAGCTACCAGGCAGATCACACAAGAGCAGGGGACTTCTGAGCTGAGCAACTATATATTCCAGTAAAAACCATTTGTGACCTAGAGCATCACTAACTACAATGTTTATAAAGAAATTCTAATAGAGCTAATTATATCTGGGTAAAGAGTCATTTCCACACATACTTCAAATTGGACAAGCAGCAATACTCATTTACCCTTTCAATCACTGCTGTCCTAGCTTTTGCAGAAGGCATTTCATTACATTGTCATCTCTGGATCACACAAAATCAAATTCACTTGACTGCAAGGTTTTCAAGACAATGAATTATTAACTGCCTTCTGCTATAATTATGTCTTTCTAAACCACATCTTGGAATGATTAAAACAACATGACATAGAGACTGGCTTGTTCGCTGACTTCAACACATAAACAAGTGGGGTTTTTTATTTATTCAGGGCTACAACCTCCTGAACAAGTTAATACTCCCTTATCTTGGTGCTGAGGATACAACATTAATTTGCAAGTGTCTGCCACAAAGAAGCAACCGAACAATTCAAACTTAATAACTGTAGATCTAATATCTACTCGTAACTCATCTTCTCAGAGAGACATTTTCATTTCTTAACTTAATCCAATTCATTTACATACCACTCCAAAAACCTAGACAGAGAAGTGGACCTATGATTGCCTACTCCAGCTTCACATTCAAATACAGTAGAATCTTAATGACACACAACAGACTCCTGAAAGTCAATCTGATAGTTTTATCTGACAGATTATGTTCGTGTTTGAGCTGAATGTCTGTTGTGTTTCTAGTGTGAAGGCCACTGCCCTCAGCAAACCCATTTATCTGAACTTTCCACTTTCTAAATGCAGTTTGTGTTATGTTTGTACAGCCAAGGCTGTCACATACAATCCACTAAAGGTATGTTGCATGCATTAAATTATTTTTTTTGCATGTGCACAAACATGAACTCAGCACAATTTTGCCTTTAGAATGAAACCAAAATGGAGTTGAGCTAAATACTGCAGTGTAGTGATGAGCGGACATGGTCTTTATCTTACTGAGAAGGAATACATAGTGTTTACACAGCCACTGGTCAAAGCTCCTTTGGCTGCCTAGACCACACCTCAGGTAAATCCACACATGGTAACCACATTTCATGTCAGTCACATATTTCTATCCCATTCTCTTTGGACACTCGCCATCTCCAAGTCAATTTTTCGACTTGGTCACACTTTACAAATTGTTGTTCCTCATAACTCACACATGGCTACATAGATTGTCAGCAAATTCACATGCAATCAGAAATTAGACATGGATGCAATTTTTCACTTACACCTGTTATTCATTCTCTGCTGAAGACTTGAATCATAGAATGATTTGGGTTGGAAGGGCCCTTTAAAGGCCCCATAAAGTCCAATCCCCCTGCAATGACCAGGGACAAGGTAAAGGTACTTCATTTAAGATGTAGGTGATTCAAAGAGCTCACAATCTTAAGAAAGAGGTATGTGTCTCACCAAGCTCCATTTTGCTATTTTTGTGTTTATTAAAATTCTTGCAATATTCTAGACCCCCAGTCAACTGCAACATCACTACAACTCTGGGCATGCTCAGAGTCACCATTTATGTCACACTGGGGACACACCTTCTCTAGTCTGTGGCAGAAGTCATGCAGGACACATTATGAAATGCAGACAGAAAATAAGGATTTTTTAGGCATCTTGAAAAGCAAGAACTTAAGAGGAATTCGAAAGAGTAGTCAAATAGATTTGTTTTAGCATGGAAAGACAGAAGTTACTGAACATACACAAATCAGTCACACACAGAGAATTCCACTCCTTCTACAAAGCAGCTCTTCACCGGAAAAGCAGCAAACATGAATGGAATTGTATGAAGATGTATTACTTAAAAAAATTCAGAGTCTCCTTGAATAGCTATAGTTATGCTAGTCAGAAAAATCCTAATTGTATTTTGCACTGGATGGAGAACAGATTACATACATATACACAAAGCATCTGTGACAAAAACAGCTCAGAGGATGTTTTTCTGTATTATCTGAAACCAATTCTAAGTTTTAACGTAATTTTCCCCAAAACTATGGGATTAAAAAATTACATCTTTAATTATATCAAAACCAAAGATTTGTATTTTGAACTTGCTTTTATATGTCAAAAATTCCATGCCCTTAATTTTCCTGAGGCTTTTTTTCCAAGTGTTGTCTACTCCTTTTATCCCAGGAACAACAGAAAATCCTGTCTCAAACTCTGACCAACTCTGTAAAAATGTGCTTACAAAGTCCCTCTTGCTGTAATCCCTGACTGTCTAGTAAATTTTTACTACACTGACACGAACCAGGAAAATACTGTGCCCTCATTTCCTACAAACACAGATCTAAATCAAGAACAGAGGAAGCAACCTCACTATGTCCGTGCAGGACATTAGAGAGAGAGAAATGGATCCTGAATCTCTTGAGTCTCAGTAAGACTTTTAATCACAAATCCTAAACTAATTTTAAACACAGGAAAAAAGAAGGTCTATACAAGATCACTCAATAGACTAATTACTGAATTAATCTGAAAAAAGCAGAATAGAAATTCTTCTACTTGACATGCACTCTTACCTAGAACATCTCTTTTATGTTCAGGGACGAGAGTTTTCCATTTGGATTCCTCTGGGTCACTGAAGTCAATGTTGATTAATCGGTAATTCGGAGAATGTCGGTTTGTCTTGAAAGTGAACACTGTTCCTTCATTGGTGACATACTCATACTCAGCCTCAAAGTTATCTATCAGCTTCACCCATTGAAGAATTCCTGCAAGATCAAACATATAATATAAATTCTTTACCTCCTGAAACAAAACCTTTTAAAACCTGAGGGCAAGGCCTTCCTGAAAATTGCTGTAGGCTCCTTCTTGAACAATGGCAGTGACCAGAAGAAGTACAGCTATGGAAAGGGCTGAATATGTACTAAGAACTTACAAAGAATTCTCCAAATTTAATAGGCTGCAGTGGAAAAATGTCAGTTCACAGACACGTTACCATACTGATTTTGAAGAGTTTCTACCAAAATACATGCAGAATACTGACAGAACTACATCTAGTGTTTCATCAGTTTTCCTACGGGGCTTCTGGAAAGCTCAGATGTTTGCTGCAGAGATGCTTCTACCACACTGACTGCCATGGAGCCAATGCCATTGAGCACATCAGGTTCTTGCCAACGGAGGAGAGTTCACAAGCCCCTGCTTCTACACACTTCTTAGCATGGGGAATCGCGGCCGAGTCAAAAGACTCCGCACTAAGCTTTCAAGCTCAATTTCATTTTCAATAGGGTTTTTTTTTTAATTACTATTTGATTAAAAACCAAATTATTATTTTTTCCGTTCTGGAAAAAAAGTTACTTTTTCTTAAAGTAGAAAGTTTTCCATTTTCCTTAAAAGCCCGGAACTTCCTGCACAATAGAAACAATGCTATTTGAATCAGTACAATGAACTTCAATATCAGGAATTTCCCTGTCAATTCAGAAACAACATTCCTGAAGTGTTGTTCTGCAGAAGCTTGTCACCACCAACTGACAAGTACAGTTAGCTAAAATGTTAACTTGGTTTGCTAAGAATAAAAACGTATTTTCCCTGTGAACCTTCTACAATATCACACTCATTAGTAGAAGTGCACTTCTCTCAAACATGAATTGCCACAGTCTACTCACTCTGTACTACAGTCTTAGTATTGACTCAACCTGGAGTTGGGACTGAAAGACTCCACTAGTTTTTATTTACATTTTACTGTTTTGTAATAGGTTTAGAGTCTAGTAGCAAGAAAAAGCAGCAAGGCTAGATCAGATATGTAATATGTTTGTTACACTTACAACCCAGTCTATCAACCAAACTTACTGTTACAAGCATCACATACTAGCTATGCTGAATAATCAGTATCCTTATTGATATGAAATTAAAGCTTTTATATCTTAAAAGAACATCTGGCACACTCTCTGCCTCTTTCCTAAAACTAGAGGCTGGGTCTTTGCTTTTAAGTATAAACAAATAAACTGTGCATAAATCTGTTCACGAAGCTCTATAATCTAATGTTTGTGTCAGTAAAACATCACATCAGCTTATTTTTTAATATTAAAAGCTGAGCAGAATAATGGAAGCAGATCATAGCTGAGCTGTAACTACTGTAAGTTTAAAAAAAGGTAAGAATAATTGAGGTCACAGTGAGATGGCCAAGGTAATTTTAAACCCATTAAATGAAATACGAGAGTATAGCCGGGCCTAGTACATTCATAAAGCTCGTATCTCTTTATTGCCATTTTCGTTTAAAAGAAAACTTCCCTGTCTCTTCATGCCAAGCAATTGATTAGCCAATTAAATTCTACTTTTCATACTGCTGTAATACAAACTTTCCAGATAATCCACTCAATTTAGTATCCTGTCTCTGAGTGAAGCAACTACATGTTAAATCTTGATTTTCATTGAGATTCAAAGTTTTGTCCTTCTCAAGAGATTTCACGTTGAAGAAAAATCCTGCTAAGTCCTTCCAGTTGCTCAGAGTTCCATAGAGAAAACATGCTTTGATGCCCAGTAAAACAAAGAAAATCTAGCCTGCGGTGAACTCTGATAGACACCAGTGAAACTGTTTTAAAACCTCAAGTCACATGCACAAGCATTTCAGTAAATAAAAACTTAACTGCAGTATAACACTGTAACAATATAAAACATTTGTATTTGAGTATCTGACAGAATGAAACCATCCTACTAAAGAAGAACAAGACTTCATAAAAAGGAATCCCCAGACTATTGAAAAAACCCACTTTTTTAATGGTAATTGTGCACAATAACTGTAGTCTCCGTGACTGCAACAGGAGTTGAATTCCGTGAAGAATAAGGACAATAATGTGACATTAGGGATTTACATTGCTGCCTTGCAACTCATTCATCCACTCCCAAATGAGGAGCTAGTAAAAAAGTGAGAGGGTTGATATTCTACAGGGACACACTAAGTTGTTATTACAAAATCAAGAGCAATCATCATGTTAAAGTGAATGTTATATAGTCCTTAGAAGACAAATATTGCAGACAAATTACCTCTAAACCATTGTCTCACCGAAGTGGTTAAATACGCCAATATCGAGTCTACGGCAAGAGGCGGTAACGAGGCAATGACAAGCATCTGAAAGAGACCGCTACATCGGGTACATCGCTACTGGACAGAGTATGTGCTGTAGTTTTCTAGTAAGAAGAGGAAACCCTTTGCAATGAGACAGATACCAGACATAGGGGGATACATCTTTATGGCTGGTTGCAGCTGATCCAGTTGCAGACCATGACTGAAAGGGATGTTCCAGCATTGCCTTAGATTACCCTGCTTAGCTCTCTCCTTTGGGCTAGAAATAACAACCCGGTGACCAGCATGACTAGTCCACTGGACACTAATATGGCTGAAAACTGTGGGGAACCATTTATAAAACTGCTCCCTTCAATACTCAAAAGGCCCAGGGGCCAGACTCTTTTCATTGGTGCCCAACGACAGGACAAGAGGGAACGGGCACAAACTGAGGCACAGGAAGTTCCACCTGAACATGAGGAAGAACTTCTTCACTCTGAGGGTGACGGAGCACTGGAACAGGTTCCCCAGAGGAGTTGTGGAGTCTCCTTCTCTGGAGATATTCAAGACCCGCCTGGACGCGGTCCTGTGCAGCCTGCTCTAGGTGACCCTGCTTTGGCAGGGGGGCTGGACTACATGATCCACAGTGGTCCCTTCCAACCCCCACCACTCTGATTTGGTGAATGGACGAGGGAGATTTTTACTAAAGACAGCACATTACACCAGGAATGAACAAAATCTGAAGCGTAAAGCATACCTTGTCAAAGATTCTGTCTTTCTGTAAGAGCCAGGAATGCATCTACAAGTCTGTCTAGACAGAGACATAGTCATGCATTCATGCATTTCCATTTGAAACACTGTGCAAGTCGATTAAGCATAACCCTTCTTTTTCTTCATGTCTGTCTTTTGTTTACATGCATGACTACTGAATACTAGGAAAGGTATCCGCATGCAGCTTTCAGTTGGCCTGAATTTAGGATGGATGACTCTGCAGTAACTGGTTAAATGTTCAAAAGCACAGTGAACTATGTACTGAGGGCCTCAAGTAGCACTCGCTTCCTTGCAGCATATGGAACAGAGCACACTCTTACAGAAGCTGAATGAGTGGGGCTTAGAGCTGTTATCCAAGCATCAGAAGAGGATGTTCCAGTGATCAGAGGAAAGCAAAAAAAGTGGTTTAGCGTGCAGTGCAGACATGGGAAAGTGTGCTTGATTGTGAAGGACTCACATTTTAACTTCTGGAAAAATAATAAAGGTATCTACTCACAATGTAGATGGGACAACACAAAGCCTCCCAAGTAACTTGTTGCAACACTAAGGCACATGCACCAGTTTTTAAGGGATCCAAGAACATCAGTGAAGGTATCAACAAACATACAGCCATAGTCAAAAAAGCAGATGCCTTACTTAAGTGCATATAGCTAAGGAAATACAGAAATGAACTATTTGGTTTCACTAAGACAACAGGCACCTGGAAAGGCCTCTGCAGGGGTGGAGGGCTGATGGACTTCGCAGGAGCTAGACAAGATGCAGGAAACAGAGGTTCAAAATGGACCAGAAGTAATGATAAAAGGTCTAAAACATAGTTTTCATATAAAGTGACCTATGAAAATACCTTATGTCTTACATTAGAGCAAAGATAAATACACAGAAGCATGATAAAGTGTATAAAACGATGAACGACTGGGAGCTGTGGTGCCCAGACTTTCTGTCTGAGTAAGGATGCCGGACCTAGACAGGTCACAGACCACAGCCAGTTCTTCATTGCTTGACTGCAAACTCATGTGATCAGCACATCCGCTCTTACCAAACAGCCTGAGGTACATGCACACATCCCATCATGTGACTGGATGGATACTCACTTGCTGGTTACATACCTGAGCAAAAGTGAATGTGTGCACAGTGTCACGTGGCATGCATGTACCTATCCAGTTATTGAAACAGGTGAGGCACTACAGAGTCTCGGAAACAAGGAATGGTCTGTTGACCCCCAAACAGTTCATGCAAACCAGTTCCTTCTCACCTCTGAAGCACTCCAACAAAACAGGCACCAAGGCCGACAAATGGGAGGTTGGTTACCATGATCTAGAGGCAGATAAAGGATTCTTGCTTCAGCCTCAAACCCAGAACAAACAGCCTCTCGGTAACAAAAAGAACAGCACATCTGTAAGTTATGACTTTAAAAAGTGCTCCAAAAACAAGGTGATGGATGGGCACTCAGTTCATTCTTCTTTAAAAGAAAAGAGGGGACGGGGAAGGTGAAGGACTGCATCTTGATAGAGATTTGCAGGTTTGCTCTCTGAGAACATTCGTCTTTGAGGAGAGCCACTGTGAAGTGACATTTGTAGTCCAGTCCTTGACAGAGCCACCGAAGACTTCACTTTAATCCACATAAGCATACAATGAGACAGATTTACTATATACAGGAAGAGCATCAAGTTGAAGATCTTGACAGTTTACTGTATACTGCTGCTATAACCTAATCCTTCCCTCTGCTAGTCCTTCCACTAAAATACATTGCTGCACAGCTACAGATGCTTTTGCCTATATACTTTATAACAGCCAGTTATCCATCATCAAATAATTTCATTACAACAGGAACCACAGGTGGAGGATTTATAACCTTTATTCATGGACAATAAAGCCATGCCACAAAACAGAAAATCATAATCCTACAGAGCTGATTCTTCTTCTGCAATGCTTAGGAGAAGTGTACAGACAAAATTATTAAACAAAATTTTTGGATCCACAGATGATCAAAAGGCATATTCTATCAGTAAGCATCACAAATGAAACCCTCAATCTTGTATTGGTGTCTGAACATAGCAAAACATTCACTGGTCTGCTGAGAACTCTCCATGTGATGAAGCAGGTTTGTAGCTGAATGATGACAACTGCAGGAGAAGGAAAAGCTAATTTGAACAAACTGATTACAACAGCAAGAACGATCACAGAAAGCCTGTTATCAATCCCCTTTCGGACAGCAAGGACAGAGTGGCCGAGAGTCACTGTTCATCAGCTCACAAAATGTCCTCAATACTTCCTTCCATATTTCATCTTTCATGGAAAGGCCAAACAATCCATTCATGGCAAATAATTTATTGGCTCTGCCCGCTAGAGATGGGGCTTAGTGATCAACTCATGGTAGGCTTTTAATCTGATGTTGTGAAAAAAAGTTTTCACAAGGTAAACACTCTAATTTGTCTTTTTTCACGTACTCTAGCAGTCAAAATTATCAGGTGAAGATATAAATGTTAATCTCCATAAATTTGCACTCCATTCTAACTTGTCAGTTATGTTTTCTGTAAGCTGGACAGTTTTTCTGGAAATGCACCAGTGCTGAGAATGGTCAGGAAGTGAACAAAGAGGTCTGGCTCATAATGGTGGAACAGGCTTTCTACCCAAACGAGCCACACCAAATGTCATTACAGTACATGCATTAAGCAGGTGAACTCCCACTGAAGGAAAGATCATGATTTTTCAACTCTTCAATTTTACTCTGAATTCATTTTTCAGGGAGGTACTGGAAGATTAAGCATATAATGTGTTTGTCTCTGAATCCCAGTCGGAATGTTAACAAAATCTGAAAAAAACAAATTCAGCCAGTCATCTTCAGCCTCAATAACCAAGCCTCCAACTTTACCTACAGGCATGATTTTCTAAACTGAACTAATTTTGATAGCTGTTCATCAGTTATTTGAATTTCTGTTTGCATTTCATCTTAAAGATGGTAATTTGCTTAATAATTTCAATAAGGAAGTTTTTTTTTAAACAGAGTGAAAATATAAATCAAAACAAAAATGCCTTTGAATCTAATATGCTCACAGAAAAGCCTTAAAACCAGTGTAATTTTGGTTTTGCAATTCCATATATACAGTAACATCCACCACGAGTATCTACACACAAAACTGTAACTTTAAAGTATATGTGTTTTACGTATGTTTTACACTAGAATTATAACACATCCACCTCCTAAACGATCAATGCATTCAGTACTACCAGCCTGGGTGACAGAAGAGAAACACGGTGTTTTAGTTCAACACTTTGCTACTGACAGATTAATCCACATACACATCTATACAACAGCACATCCTAGTAGGATGTAAGAGGACAGTAACTTCACAGCCTTAACACTTTCAGTTCCAGGAGCTGGACACTGCAAAAAAGCCTTATAAAAGTCCCACAGGTACATGCATTATTAAGCACTTTCAACTTACTTTCTTTCATTTTCCATGTTTTCCCCATTCCTTTAAGAGAAGTACATTTTTTACTGAAATTTTTATAAATAGAAACGAATGTGTCTCTATGTTAGGTCTTAAATCCTGTGAACCTAAAAATCTTAATTTTAATTAAGTTATCATACTATTTCCTTCTTACATCACTGTATTATTAAGGTAAATTTTACAGTATCTACTCTTTGAACTCTGGATTTCTTTTCGTCTTTATTTCTGGAAGGAAATAGACTCATAGAATCGTTTAGGTTGGAAAAGACCTGGAAGATCATTGAGTCCAACTGTTAACCCAACACTGCCAAGTCTACCACTAAACCATTTCCCTAAGCACCACATCTACACGACTTTTAGATACCTCCGGGGACAGTCAATCGACCACTTCCCTGGGCAGCCTGTTCCAATGCCTGACCACTCTTTCAGTGAAGAAATTTTTTCTTAATATCCAACCCAAACCTCCCCTGGTGCAACCTGAAGGCATTTCCTGCCATCTTAGCACTTGTTGCTTTGGAGAAGCAACACCCACCTCACTACAACCTCTTTTCAGGCAGCTGTAGAGAGTAACAAGGTCTCACCTCGGCCTGTTCTCCAGACTAAACAATCTCAGTTCCCTCAGCCGCTCCTCACAGGACTTGAGCTCTAGACCCTTCCCCAGCTTCATCGCTCTTCTTTGGACATGCTCCAGCACCTCAACGTCCTTCTTGTACTGAAGGGCCCAAAACTGAACATAGTATTCGAGGTGCAGTCTCACCAGTGCCGAGTACAGGGACACGATCACTTCCCTGCTCCTGCTGGCCACACTATTCCTGACACAAGCCAGGATGCTGTCAGCCTTCTTGGCCACCTGGACACACTGCTGGCTCACGTTCAGCCAGATGTCAACCAACACTCCAAGGTCCTTTTCCTCCATGCAGCTTTCCAGGCACTCTTCCCCAAGCCTGTAGCGTTGCATGGGGTTGTTGTGACCCAAGTGCAGGACCCAGCACTTAGTCTTATTGAGCGTCCTACAACTGCCTCAGGCCATCGATCCAGCCTGTCCAGATCCCTCTGCAGGGCTTTCCTATCCTCAAGCAGATTGACACTCCTGCCCAACTTGGTGTTGTCTGCAAACTTACTGAGGGTACACTCGATCCCCTCATCCAGATCACTGATAAAGACACTAAACAGAACTGGCCCCAATACTGAGCCCTGGGGAACACCACTTGTGACCAGCCGCCAGCTGGATTTAAATCCATTCACTGTAAGTCTCTGGGCCCGGCCATCCAGCCAGTTTTTTTACCCAGCGAAGACTGCACCCGTCCAAGCCATGAGCAGCTAGTTTCTCCAGGAGAATGCTGTGGTAAACAGTGTCAAAAGCTTTATTAAAGTCTAGATAGATAACATCCACAGCCCTCCCTCATCCACTAGGTGGGTCACCTTATCATAGAAGGAGATTAGGTTGGTCAAGCAGGACCTGCCTTTCATGAACCCATGCTGACTGGGCCTGATTGCCTCGTTGTCCTGTACGCACCGCGTGATGGCACTCAGGATGATGATCTGCTCCATAACATTCCCTGGCACTGAGGTCAGACTGACAGGGCTGTATTTTCCTGGATTCTTCTTCCATCCCTTCTTCTAGACAGATGTCACATTTGCTAATCTCCAGTCAACTGGGACCACCCTGGTTAGCTAGGACTGCTGACAGATGACTGAAAGTGGCTTGGTGAGCAGTTCCACCAGCTCACTCAGTACCCTTGGGTGGATCCCATCTGGCCCCATAAACTTGTGTGTGTCTAAGCAGTGTAGCAGGTCGCTAACCATTTCACCTTGGATTACGAGGGCTTCATTCTGCTCCTCGTCCCTGTCTTCCAGCTCAGGGGGCTGAGTACCTGGAGAACAACTGGTCTTACTATTAAAGACTGAGGCAAAGATGGCATTAAGTACCTCAGCATTTTCCTGATCCTTTGTCACTAAGTTTCCCTCCTCCATCCAGTAAAGGATAGAGATTCTCCTTAGCACTCCTTTGGTTGTTATTGTACTTATAGAAACATTTTTTATTGTCTTTTACAGCAGTAGCCAGATTAAGTTCTAGTTGGGTTTTGGCCCTTCCTCACATGTGGCATAACCTCACAACATCCTTGTAGTCCTCCTGAGTGGCCAGCTGCATCATGAAGTTGTCTTCCACACTCTCCAGTAATCTCCTGGACTGTTTCCTCTCTGCTGTATATTATTTCCAGCAGACATCTTGTAAGTTGAAGTCCCCCACAAGAACAAGGGCTGGGGACTGTGAGGCTTCTCCCAGCTGCTTATAGAATATTTCGTCTGCCTCTTCATCCTGGTTGGGTGATCTATAACAGAATCCCACCAGACCTTGTTGGCCTTCCCCCTGATTCTTACCCATAAACACTCAACCCCATCATCACCATCATTTAGCTCTAGATGATCAAAACACTCCCTAACACAGAGGGCTATGTCACTGCCTCTTCCTTACTTGTTCTGAAGGGTTTATAGCCATCCATTGCAGCACTCCAGCTGTGTGAGACATCCCACCATGTTTCCGTGATGGCAACTGTATCATAGTTTTTCTGCTGCACAACAGCTTCCAGCTCCTCCTGTTTGTTGCCCATACTGCGTGCAGTGGTGCAGATGCACTTCAGCTCGGTTACTGATCCCGCCACCTTTTTGGGGGGAGAACCCTAATTGCTACGTGACCACTCTCAGGCACTTCCGTGATCTTTGCTGCTGCATGGATCTCCATCCCCTACCTCCACTGAGAAAGCAGATCGAAGGACAATCAATAGTCAAACTCTACAGTTCAGGACTCTGTCAGTGGATTATTATTTTTTTTTCTCAGTCTCAGGAAAATGGATTAAAACCACTCCCTCCCTCACCTCTTCTGCTTTTTATGTTTCCCACTGAAAACTCTTACTCCCCAAATTTAATTTTCTTAAAGAATCACCTGCATCCTTTGTAGATACCATTTTCCGATATTAGCCTATCTACCTAGTCTGTAGTATATTTTAAATGGCTGAAATTTTGTAATACAAGTGCATACATACATTTCTACATACATACACATATACACATACATGTTAAGATTTTAACATCTTTGCTATAGCAGAGAAATATTTTTTGCCCTTGGACTGTCAATAACAAAATTTGTTTCACTTGTTAGAGGTACACGGCAACAGCTATTCCATGTCCGCAAACCTTAATCACAGGGTACATAAAGCCTTTCATCACTGAGGAAAAACCCAACCTAAATCTCATGGTGTAATTTAGATTTTGTCTAGGAGTCACATCTCCTTTTAGTATTCTCCCATTTATCTTTTCTTCTTTCTTTCTTGGATTTACCCTATACACCGTAACAGGCAATGTTCATCTACTGCATGTCACATGGCCATAATTCACTGCAAGTACTTACTGAACGTATTCTCACCACACTTCTCATCGTATCAGAGAGCATCCTGTACCTCACACTGATGACTGCTGGATATTTAGATATAACAGAGAATCCAGTAGTAGGATGCTGTCATCTTTGACAGTATGTTAGAACAATTTGAGTTTGCTGCAGGAGAGCTACAGTACACAGCTTCCAAACAGTGGTGTTTAGCACCTTCCTACGTGAAATGAGAGCAGAGCAGAGCAGATCATGGCTATACATTGATGCACTGTGCCCATCACTCCAGTCCGTCCCAGCCGCTCTATCCTGAAAGCACAAACGCACCCAAGAACCTCAGTGCTTAGGAGATTTCTACCAGACAGAGCATCTCTAACGGAAGTAGTTTTAGTTTGCGTGCAAACCTCGAGCAACTGCACTGATGTTAATCTCTTGTTTCCTACTTCCCCTGTCAGCTGCTGCATCAACTGTGCACCTTCACCTGATTTGCACCTTCCAACTGCTGAAGGCTTTGCTTCAGAAATACTCTGAAACTACATCAGCAACCCTGTTCTATAGACATTGCTCCTTCTGAAACCTCTGGCTTTGCTCCACCAGCAGCTTTCTTAAAGAAGCAAACAAAACAAATAAAAAAAACCCCACACACAACCAACCCAACTGCAAGACACAAGAGGCTGACAGATCATGTTTGTGTGTATATAGCTAGCTGCTCCTCCCTATGTTTTACGCTCTGTATTTGATATCTAGTGAAGAATTAGTTAGTCTAAAGATTAACTAATTCAGGAACACACCACACAGTTGGACACAAAAAAAGTATTTCTAAGGAAAAACACAGAGCTGTTTCTGGTGCTTCCAATGTAAAAAAAAGAAAATTTTTTTAAGCCTCAGAATTTCTGCACTTGTTACTGTGGATACTGAAGAAGGTTCAATTTCTTTTTTTAAAATAATATGAAAAGTTTTACACCTGCTATAAAATTTCATGTCATTTGTCACCAGAGAAGAGACTTATGAGGACAGAAACCACAAGATGCTTAGGATTACAACAGTTTATTATAGTTATCATCCTTTCCAGGTGTCCCAGAACACTAACAAAAACAAACTAACAAAGTGGTAGTGGTGAATATGCTGACTGATATAAGTTTATAACCTGCCAAAGTAACAATTATGTTGACAGGCAGACGAAGGTTAATCTTTTAATTTTCACCACTGATACTCATACCAGTCATCAGCGCAACCGCACAAGGTTGCATGGTTGAGGGTGCAGTCACCACATTAAAAGTATTTGCACTGCTGAATACTGGCTCACTAAAGCAAGCCAGATTAAGTGTCTTACTCTGGTCTCCAAAGG